GTCATTCATCAAGATTTTTAAAATGGAACTTGTGGCCTAGGTAACCTGTGTTTCTTTATTAATTGTATAATGAAGTCATGAGAGTCAGTGCCCAATCATCAGACTTAATGCTTCTTATGCATTCATGTAGGGTCTCTTCTTTGTGGTAGGAACAATAACAAAAAGAGAAACAAGCAAGCTCCGGTCCTTACAGGGCTGGTGGGATGGCGCAGCCGTGAGGAGGCAGAGCAGGGTCTGCATGGTGGGAGTCTGTGGGGGGCACAGCAGGGCGGGGAGGATGGGCAGTTGGTTCTCCACTGTGGGTCCAGAGAGGGCCCTGGGGAAAGAAGGAGAAGAGTGGGCGAGGGGTTCTGAGCTGCTGAGAGGTACGTGCACTCAACCCTGAGCAGGGCGTGAGTGGAGGCCAGGAGGAAATCAGGCTGGCGAGCAAACCCTGGGGAAATGAGATGGCACGACTGAACCCAGAGGGTTGGCGGAGGAATCAACGTATGCTACCAATAATTTTGCCTGTCTTTAAATTCCTTGCTATATTCTTATTTTCTCAGCAACCAGCTCCTCTCAGCCCCCCTCACCAGTTGTGGTCTAAATGGTTCCCCTTTCTTCTGAATTCTGACTTCATATAACTGATAAACCTCTATCATAATTGCTGTGCTCCAGTTTAATATATACTGTAGAGTCTTGTGTCTCTGGCCCTTCACATTTTACCCGTTATTTTACTGACATTCGGTTATCAATCTTCTATCACTCTGAGAGCCCCTTTCCTTCACTGCTAGTTTCTGTGTGTTTATTTTCATATTTGTGTGTTTGACATTTAAACACATCTTTAGCTTGCCTCTGTCTTCATTCAGCAGAGCAGCCTTGCAGTGTGGGAGACACGCAGAGAACAGATACAGCCCGGCCGTCAGGGAGCTCACATTTTACTGGGGAGAGAGGTAACAGGTGAGATAAGAGATACCAGTGAAAAGGAAATGATGCAGGGCGGAAGGGTGGGAAAAGCAGGGATGAGAAGCATTGGGTTGACTCAGAGGCAGCAGTGGAGAAGGGAGGAGATGCCAGGCAGCCAGAGTGAAGGCTCAGGGCAGGAGCAGGCTGGCCCCAATGTGAGCACAGCAGGGTGACCTGAGGGAGAGGACAGGCTGGCAGCAGGGAGGGGAGTGGCACCGGGCCAGGTGTGGTGGGACTGCAGTGGGAGCAGGCGAGCCTGCCTGCCACCTCTGCTCCTGTGAAAGGTGAGGGGCTGCTGAGGGAGGGGGAAGTGGTGAGAAAGGCCAATTCCTGCAGTCTGAGAAGGAAAGGAGGAGAAAGGGAGACTGTGGGCCTATTTAGGGTGGGTGTCACTGATGGAGTGAGGGGCAAGGGAAGTGGAGCTTTGAGGGCAGCTTCCATCCCACCATTGGGACTGAGGTGACGGGCATGGTTCACAGAGAGGGGGCAGCCTGGGTCTGGGTCTTTGGAGCTCTCTGCACAGCAGTAAGACAAGGATGGCCTTGGTGACACCAGAGAGAGGGAAGAGTGCTGCCCTGGGACCCAGTGGGATCGCACCAGAACCTGCTGGGGATGGCATCAGAGCCTGGAGTGTTGTTGCCAGTACTGTGAAGTTATTTCTAGAAAGGAAGTTAGGGTAGCGTTTTTTAAGTTGGGTCTTTTGGATTTTCTTTTAATCAGTTGGATTTCATTTGTTCTCCTTATTGGGTTTCTACTATTAATGAAATCTCCATGCCTCAGAAAATGCAGCTCTTTTTCTGTGATTAGACCTATATGCCATCATCATCTCATAGTACAGATGTCTCCTAGTTCGAGGTTTTTTTTTTTCCTCTTTATAGTGGTGCAAACATAATCCACATTCAGTAGAAAGCACACTTGGTGTTTTAAGTTCGATCTTGCCCTGGGCTGGCGATGTGCAGCCTGACCCTCCGGACAGTGCCTCGCTCTCAAGGGGAAGCACAGCACCCGCAGCGCTGCCTGCGAAGCCTGCCTGTGCAGCAGGGGAGGTGGAGCAGATGCGTTCTTAATTTACAGAGGGTTTATTGGGACCTAACTCCGTCACAAGTTCAGCAGTATCTATGTTGAGAAGGTACAGAGACAAGTAATTATAACCATATCTTAAAACATTGCTGGGCTCATTTGGGCTCGCAGACATAACTAGGGTTTAGCTGAGGGATCAGAAAGCTCTTTCTGTGAAGGGTCACGCAGTAAATATTTTCACTTCCTGAGAGATGCACCCTGTGTAGGAACTATTCAACTCTGCGGTTGTAGCTCGAGAACGACTGTAAACATGTGCAAGGATGAAAGCAGCTGTGTCCTGCACAACCTTTCCCCAACAGGCAGCGGGCCAGGTTTGCCCCACAGTCTGCAACTCTCAGAACCCTGTGTTTTACGAATCATACTTGTGACCTCTCAGGGGTAACGAACCTATAAAGTACCATCTTGATTTAAAAAAAAAAAAGGAACCACTTAATTTGTTAGTTTATGTTAAAAAGATATTTTGTAAACAATTCGATTTTATCAGCTCTTCTTACTTTTAGAGCTCTGGTCATCAGACTTATACTTCCTTCTTGAGGAACTTCCATAAAAATGTGCAGACAGGCAGCCATTCTCTCCCTTCATTGCCTGCCTGTTTCTAGCATCAGCCTGTTTTTCTCCTTTCCTGTTAGTATGTCCCCAGCATAATGTCCTAGATGAAATTGTTTATCTTGTGTTCCAAAGATTGAGCAGACATTTGGTTCAGCATGAATGTATCATACAAGTGTATAATATGCAGTACCTGTTAAATTTGTCCCGAGTGTAAAATTCTGCTCTGCTATTTGCTATAGCTTCTCTGCCTCAATTTAGTGCTTATCAGTTCAAGGACTAAATAACATATTCATACAAACTGCTTTGAATAGCATCTGCCCAGTGTGGAGGACTTCTGCCAGCCGTTGTTCTCATGGAGCTGTTGCCACCCTGTCCTGAGGCCTTCTCAGTGCCTTGTTCCCCACCATGGAGCCATGGCTTTTGCTGACAGTGAAACAGCCAGCGCCCAGTCCATTCCATGGGGAAGTAGCCTTTTCAACAAATGGTGTGGGCACAACTGGATATCCATTGCAAATAATAAAGGAGGACCCCTAACTATGTACAAAAATTAGCTCAGAATGGATCACAGAAGTAAATGCAAGAGACAAAACTATAAAACTCACAGAATAAAATATAGGAGCAAATCCTTATGATCTTGGATTAAGTGAAGAGTTCCTAAATATGACATTGAAACCATAAGTGATGCAACAAAAAGTAGATAAATTGTACATGTTTTTCTACATTGGCCACCCTTAAGAAAGTGGAAAGACAATCCTTACAGTGGGAGGGAAAGTTGAAGTTAAATATCAGACAAGGGAGCTATATGTAGAATATAGAGAGAGAACTTTTAAACTCAGTAATGAAAAGATAAATAGTTCAATTTAAGGAAAAAGATTATAATACACAGATGGCCAGTGAGCACTTGAAAAGATGCTCAGTATCATTACTCATCAGGAAAATGCAGATGGAAACCACAACGAGACAAAAGGCAGACCACAGTGCTGAGCAGGATGTGGGGAAATGAGAACCCTTAGAATTTGCTGGTGAGAATGTGGAATGGTGTGGCCACTGTGGAAGGCAGTCTGGCAGGTCCAGAGTGTTAGGCATAGTGTCCCATGTGGCTCAGCAGCTCTGCTCCTAGGCATACATGTTCAAGAGAGAAGCATTAAGGGAAAGAAGCCAGTCACAAAAGCCCACACGTTACATGTTGTGAAACGTCCACAGTAGGTTAATGTGCAGATTTGTGGTTGTCTGGCTTAGCGTGGAAGTTGGGGGCTGGGCAGTGACTGCTGATGAGCACAGTTTCTTTTTGGGGTGAGGAGAATATTTTGGAATTAGATGGTAATGATGATTGCATAATGCTGTGAATATATTAAAACCACAGAATCATAAACTTTAAAATGGTGAATTTTATGGTATGTGAATAAATCTCAACAAACTATTATTTAAAAAGAAAGATCCCATATTTGCCTTCGTGGCTTTGAAAGATTGTGGGTAAAACATGCTTTCTTTTTTCCTCTTTTTTATTTGAGGGCTGTTACCTGAGCTTTACTCAGGCCTAGATGACAAGGGCTACTCGGCTGTTGGCTCCATGGTGAGCCACTGCCCAGGTCCTGAAGTAGCGTGTATAGGCTGCAGCCTCTTCTCAGGGGACTTTTGGGACCAGGAAGTCACTAAGGCCAGTGACCTTACCCAGTGAGAGGTTTTTTCATATGAAGACCGGGGTCATTCACACAGCAGTGAGTATACCAGTGTCCAGGAGTTTCAGCCTCATTATTTTAGAGGACTTACTATTAGGTTAATTTGTGGATTGTGTGTAGAGGTGATTTCAGAAAAAGGCACATCAGTCGCATCTGTTTTCTAAAAGCTGTCTTACAGCACAGCATTATACTGAATTGTTGCTCACTGCCCTCTTAGAAGTTACCAATTCATATATATGTTAGTAAGTTGCCATACGCTCTTTGTTATAAAAAGATTGTATAAACTTGCATTATACTAGGTCATTCTGTCTTAACTTAAAAATGGAAAGCAAAACAATCCTTTCATACATCAACTGTATTCTGAAACATACATTCTCAATCTTGTCTGTACACAAAAATCAATTGGGACTTGTGAAGACCATGAGTGTCCTAGGTCTGTACCCCCAATTTTCAGGGGGTGCTTGGCCTATGATAATCATTACCGCAGGGATTCAGCTTGGAAAGAGGGGATAACCTAAGGGTGTTCTTTACATTACAACAGGTAATGAATGGGTATTACAGTATTTCCTAGCCATTTGGTGGCAGAAATAGATGACAGCCACACTCTTGCTCTGCCGTTAGGAAATAGAACTTTTTTTACCAACACAGTGTGGCACAGTGCGTGGAATCTTAGTGCTTGCCACTCCTGCCAGCATCTGCACTGTTACCTGTGAATGCAGCCCTGTCTCCTCCACCCTCTCCTTGCAGATTTCCTTTGACTTAGCCGAGTACACTGCAGATGTTGATGGGGTGGGAACTTTGCGGCTTCTGGACGCAGTGAAGACCTGTGGCCTTATCAACGCTGTGAAATTCTACCAGGCCTCCACAAGTGAACTTTACGGGAAGGTGCAAGAAATACCCCAGAAGGAGACCACCCCTTTCTACCCAAGGTCACCCTATGGTGAGAAGCCATGCATGGCACTCAGTGTGTGTTGGGGCTGGGGCTGCTTTTGTTTCGTTTTGTCTCCGTCTCCCAGCTGAAGTCATTTGGGTGTGGGATCGACATGAAGGTAGACTTAGAGTGACTGCGCTTGTTAAGAAGCATACCTTTATAACTTGCTAACTACACGTATTCGCTGCCATGCCCCGGGGTAAGATTACTACTCGCTTCACCATCCGTGTGCACTCACCCCATCCTTCCAGATCACTTTAAGAGGAAAGTTAGAGCCAGCGTGATTTTTGTGTTGAAGGGTTCTGAGATTGTGCTGAGATGATAAGGTTTCATGTTTTTTATTTCCCCATGAAAGATTCCCTGAGCTCAAATCCTTAAAAAAAGAAAGAAGAATCTGGTACATCTAGTATATTTGTAAAGAAAATACTCATGAAAGACTTCAGTGATAAAATTTCAAAGCAATTCAAATATTTAGATCCCCAGTTTTTTCCTTTCTAATACTTTAGAACTAGAAAAGAAAAAAGACTATAAGATCTATAGATCTTATAGTCTACTCGCTTTTAGAACTAGAAAAGAAAAAACTTTAGAACTAGAAAAGAAAAAAGACTATAAGAAAAGTGGACTTGCATGCAGTATAATTGAATTAATTACACAGTAAAAGAACAAACTATGGATATAATAAAAGTAGGAAATTATTAAATACTTCCTATGAGCATGATTAAAGCATAGGAATCTTTATTTTATTTTGACTTTTAATTCATATTTCTTGTTATTTTACTGTATTACACATTATAATTTTTGAAATTATTCCAACAGGGGCAGCAAAACTCTATGCCTATTGGATTGTGGTAAACTTCCGGGAGGCATATAACCTTTTTGCAGTGAATGGCATTCTTTTCAATCATGAGAGTCCCAGAAGAGGTTAGTAAATATACTTATTGTAAAAAGAACTTTAGAGTTGAACAATAAAAAGTTGCAGGTATATTCTGCATATGTTCTATTTACTAAAAACTTTTACCTCTAATTTGAACTGTCATAAATGTCAGAAGAACTAAATGAAGAAGTGTTAAATGAAGAAATGTAAATCTGGTCTTAATTGCTTATCAAGTTTATGGGGTTTTTAAAAATTCATTATGAAAAACAGCATGTTCCAATTTTACCATATTTGTCAATAGGTCTTATAAAGCATGTTTTCAACCTATGTATTAGAAAGTTCCCATGTAAACACAAAGGAGTGAGAAGAAGAATAATGGTTCTTTCTAGAAGTTGCTTCTATTCACGTAAACTCGGGCATTTGGATATTCAGTATTTTTCTTTACATTCCATTAAACAGACACCCAGAGATTGTTATACTTCTAGAGTATATTTTTAAAATAAGTTTGAAATCATTCTTTATAGTGAGAAGCATCAGTTTTTATAAGACCTTATTTGTTTGTATTGGATCATTGTCTTTTCATAGTTGTTATTGAGACTATTAACATGCTAGCATTAAATTTTAAATAAGAAAATGTGTACCCCCACCATTACTTCTGGTTTAGTGAAGCATAAGAAATCTTAGGTAAGCATATTTTTAACAAAGTAAAAATCTGATCCAAGAAGTTTTATTAAATTTCACTATCATTTAGTCTTTTAGTGTGAACATAAGTGAGGCCAGTATTATAAGCTGTTTCATGCCCAACAGCTCGTGTTAATTATAATTTTTGCAGTGAAATTTTACTTGACTGTATAGCCACCTAATTAAAGCAACAAGCCATGAAGAAACATTAAAGTGACAGGTTTATAAAGGTATCTTTAGCGTCAGTACATTTTTATTTTATAATTGCTTATGTTAAAAATTCCCATGATGGACTATTAAAGCCTAAGACACAAGCCTGTCATTTCTGTTGCTCAAGTTGCTGGAGATATTCCTTTAATGAATTTTGTGGTTCTGGGTGTGCTCCTGAGGCGGAGAAGAGGGGAAGAGCTTAGGGCTCCCTGCCTGTAGCTCTGGCATGTGGGCGCTGAGGAACCTAGTCTGTAAAGAGAATGCCTACCTCTTCTCTCACCAGCCTGTTTATACACCTTGCTTAGGTTTCTGATTTCTTCTTTGCTTCACCTTTTTCACCTGAAGAGAAAAATAAAAGTTAATTATTATGAATAGGAGAGGGGAAGGCATTCGTAGATTGTAGAGTTAAATGATACATTTGAATATAGTGCCCCCTCAATCCTCTGTAGTTCACAATGAGAACAATCTTGCTTTTTTTATATATATTAATTACATTTAGGTATACATTAAAAATCAGGTTGTGTCGTGTGCAGGTACAAATTCTCTATGATGAAAATCTTTCAGTTTTACAAAAACTTTAAACAAGAATTCTGCTTTGTTATAAAATAAAATTAAAGGAGACGGGTATAATGAGGAAACATTCCTTCCTTCATACCAACTCCCAGCCCTGTCTGCAGACTACGGTTGCTTTCCTAGAAAGGTGCATGAATCGTCCTGCTGTGTGGGCCTCTGTGAAGTGTTAAAAACTTGACTTCATAGCACACAGCATTTTCATTGGTTTTATTACATGTCTAGAAATCAATGGTGTTCTATTTTTTACTGCATTTACATAATAAAATAATAAAAAAAATGTAGAAGTATATGTGAAAATGATGTCAGTGCTTTAATAAACTGCACTGTCTAATACCTAATGCCATATTTCTAGAAACTTCAAAATTAATTTTCATAATGTGACAGGTAGGTTACTCTTAAAAGATCAATTGTTGTTCTCAGCGGAGATGTCTTTACTGTGAGTCTCTTGGTGGTCAGATTGTGTTATATTCTTAAACCTGCAGCTTCTAAAGCAGTGCATATCTGCTAGTGGGCATTCAGTACATATTTTTAAATCAATGTATGAATAAATGAGTATCTCACATTTCAGTTAAACATTCCTGACTTGACAGCTAGATCATTGGAATTAGAAAACAGTAGAAATTTTTAGGATGGTTTTAAATAAATATTGTTTTATTGATTTTACACATATAATAGTTAATTTCAGCCAACAAACTGTTTTAAAGTAGTGACTCAATCTGATAAGCTTTAATGAATAGATAGAGTTAGTGTTTAATAATTCTAGTTTGGATACCCACAGCTTGCTGTGACACTGTGAGTTTGTTTCCTTAAACTGATTGCCCATGTATCTATCAGTGTTCATGCCCTATTATGAGAGGCAAAAACACTCCTTTATCTGGATGGAGCAGCAGTAACCCTCGACCTATCCGAGGTGCAGTCACAAAGGCCTGAGTAACTGAGCCCATGGTGTACAGATTTGGGGATTCAGGAACTTGTCCTCAAATGGAAAATAATTCACAAGGTACATCTTGTTACATGAATAGCACTTCATGAGAATTTCTAACTTTAAAAAGTATGGAAGAGGTTTTTTTTTTAGTTTTACAGAGAAAAACAAAAACAAAAAAAAAATACAGAATTTAAAACAAGATAATAGGAGATTAACAACAATAATAATTAATATAGTGAGTATTGCTATCTTTAAATTAGTTGCTCAGATTATAAGAAGTATTTTAATATAAATATATTCCAGATCAGAAGTTGGCCAGCTGTGGCTCATAAGCCAAGTCCAGCATACCAGCCTATTTTTTGTGAATAAAGTTGTATTGGAGCACAGCCAGGCTCATTTGTTTACACATTGTCTGTTGCTCCTTTCACACTATAGACTCCTGTAGTCCACAAAGCCTGAAAGAGTCACTGTTTGGACCTTTGAGAAAACATATTGTGGCCCCAGCTGTAGATACTGGGTTCTTCAATATCTGAAAACCTTTCAATTGGGTTTACTGTGGGTTTCTCCCAAGGTAACAAGGAACGCTTTAGAAAGATTTCCAAGAAATGTTAAAGTCAGAGAGTCCATAATGAGCAATCCTTGCACTGAATTCTGGAAGTACTGTGGTTACTTGGAGTTCTGTTGTCCTCAACTGCTGTACTGCAGAGCACAAGTCTCTCCAGGGAAGCTAATTGTCAGCAAAGCGTGGACCTTAACACACCACCAGCACAGCTCATCACAGCAACCCCAGCTCCTGAGTTTTGACCCTTCCTAATTACATGTTCACTGCCTTCTGTGTCTTTTTGATGTTCTCCTTAAAAAAAAAGATTATTTAGATTTTTTGTAAATGTATCTGAGTTGTTTTCAGAACTTCATAAGACATGTGGAGGTAGTTGCTCTCACCTGTGCTTGCATGCCATCACACGATTGTCCAGGGAGGAACCATGATCCAGTGACAGGGCCGAGAGCAAGATGCACAGAGCGCTCCAGCTTGAGGGTTGCTTTCTATAAATGGGGCACAGTTGTCAGATTTGCTAACAAAATTTTAGAACAATATGTGCCAAAGGCATGAAAACATGTACACTAGCATGTTTTGTGAATAACTATATCATTCTGCCTTATATATTGATATTCACAGATATTAACAAGCTGCTCTTATTTTTAAGCATTTAGCTTTTTAAAATAAAAGTATATATATTCAGTTATTGATGAGATGAGTAAAGGCTTTATTTTATGCATAAATTGCACAGAACTGCTCATGTATCTGAAAAGCTTTTTCCTCTCATATTATTTCTCTAAATCTGTAATGCTGTATCTTCTACCTATATATGTATATAAATATACTGTTCTGTTTGGACATGCTTCTACTAGATATACAGATTTATGTATTCCCTATATTTTGCTTATTATCTACAACTATTTCATTTCTGCAAGGAAATTGACATACAGATTTTTTTCCCCTTGTTATTAAATTTCTTGAAAAGCTAAATAGCTAATAAGACTATGTTGTTATAAAGACGTTAATTGTATAAGTTAAACCATGAGGAAAAATATGAAAATGTTTTAATTATTTTAAAATAGCTTGTAGATGAGGATATTTGAATTTTTGAACATACCTTTTATCAGTAATAAAATTTACTCTTACATAGATACATTGTTTTGCAAATTAGGGCATTAAAAACAAAGCTGTTTAATAAATCTAACAATATTATTACTTAAGGAAGTGAAGTAACAAAAATGTCCACTGTCTGTCACCTAGATAATGTAATCGGTTTGCTAACTGTGTCTTGATTCTGAACCTTTTGGCAGAGTGCTTTGGCCCATCATTAATACAAATTTGGTGACCTTTAAAGTTTATACATAACATTAATAAAAGTGTATTCCACATACAACATTTTGCATGATGATCAAGGGAAAATGACAATAAAAATAAGAGATATACCTTACATTCTAGTTTCAGAAGATTTAAAAAAATTAAACTGAACTTGATTTCCTGACTTTGATGACTAAAGATACCATGAGTAAAGAGTGAAATACATTACCTTTGAGCATTCCTTTTTTCCCCTGGATTTTGAGTGTGATTTTTCAGTTTTCAGTGTGAGTGTGGAATTAGTGGCTTGGCCGGACTTCAACTAAGGAGTGGCCGAGGCCTCTGCAGGACCTCTCAGGCCCTCATCTTAGAGACGAGGGCCAGGCCAGGTGCGTGGCCGGTGAGTTCACTGCTGCCCAATGTTGGCCCGACCAGCCCACACCCTAAAGACACTGGCTTTATAGAAGGAAGTCAGTTCAGATTTCCAGTCACTCAATGAGTATATTTTTCTTACGTTGACTCATCTTAGGCTTTTGACCATTAGGAGAGTCTTGGCATTATGCTGACTGCTGCTTACAGCTTGACTGAGGAGGTAACGTTTGGCTAAGTGGACCTTCCTCATGCGCCATTAGTTTACCAGCATGAGTCACATGCAGCGGTTGGTTTCATTTGGATGTCTCCTGCCTGAGTAAGAAGTCACACTCCATGTTGGCAGTGTGCTTCTTCCATTCTCCCCCTACTCTCTCTCCTAAGGGTCTGCAGACAGGGTACTTGGGGCTGGAGTCACAGCTTAGAGGTAGAGAGCACTTGTCTAGCATTCCTGGGGTCGGGTGCCTGCACAAGCAGGAAGGACCTTTACTCAGTTCTGGGTAAGGGGATTTTTCTTCTCAGCAGATTCCTTCTTAGGCTTCCCCTCTTGCTTGCCTGACCCCTTCCCCAGACTGTCTCCACTTGCTGTGTGTAGCTGTGGTGATTGGATCACGGGCCTGTAGAGAAAGACCCCAGGAGCACGCCTTCCTCCCAGAGCTCCTCCACGCCACCTCCCCGTGAGCTCTAGCTTTGCCCGCTAGCCCGCACACACCACTCACAGGCTGCCCGCCTGAGCTCATTTTATTCTACATTTCACCGTTTCCTTTTTCTAAGCAGAGGAGTCAGACCCATTTAGTTGTCACTGTCAAGTGTTACAATAGTGAAAAACATTACACCAGTGAGCTGGTTTGGGTGCTTGTGGCATTGGGGATTACTATTCTAAAAGTCCTTTTTAAGTCCTTTTGATTACCGTACACATTTCTTTATGTTTATATGAAAATGTGTATATATTTCTAATTTTTCCTTATTTTTTATTACTAAAGTAGTATAATGGCCCATTAAATGCTATTCCCTCTTTTTAAAAGTTCTGGAGAATAACCATTTCTCCCAGAATACCATCAGAATTTATGAGAGAGAAAGAAATTTAAAGGTCAGTTCATCCCACCTTTTCATCAATGAAGAACTGAGTCAGCATGAGATCGAGGTGCCCAGTGTCATAAACTGAACAAATGATACGTGATACTAACGTAATCTTGAGGGAGCGGGAGTCATACAAACACGATTTCTATGTGCGTAAGTCGCATACAGATGAATGTTAGAGTTGGAAATAGAGGAGATCAGTCCTTCCTGGACAGGGTGGGTGCTTGGACTTTGCTATAAAATAAGTGGAGAAATTGGAGATTTAATTTCTCAGTTGGTCTCCTGTCTTTTGTAAAAGGTATTCATTAGCTTCTCTCAGGTGTTTGGCAGAAATAATCATAATAAAACAAACATTATTTTAAGTTAAAATGTGTGATATGACACAAATAACTTACCTTGGCTATTAGCAAGAAGTTGGCAATGAGAACAGAACTAATGCAATAGATTAAAAATCATGGGCTATAAGGACTTATAAGCACTTTAAATATAACCCTAATTAACAGTTTGAGACTACCACAAATGGAAGGTGTACTGCCAGTGTTTAGATATTGAGCCATTTTTAGACGATATGGCACATTCTTCTAAACATAGGCTTCCTAAGAAATCATATAGACCAGTCTAAACACACTGTTCACCTCACTGAGCTAATCTGATTTTGTAAGGTTCATGAACTTGTGGTTTTGAGTTGTAGTCTTGAGAGTTTTTTAGTTACCAAGTGTTTTGCTTCTCCAGATGTCTATATTTATTATCATAAGTTAATCTTCAAAAGTTTCAAAACTATAACAATATTTAAATAATTTCCCCCTTTGGAAGATTATTCTTTATTTGTTGCTGCAGAGATGAGATTCATATTGTACGATCCAGTTTCCCAAATGGGTAGAGAATTGAATGGTGGGGTCAGAATGACTTGCTCCCAGGGAGACAGGCGGCAGTGTGGTTCTCATAACTGAGGGGGTGTGACCCCTGCCATCTGACAGGTAGGGGCCAGGTACATCTTGGACACGCTCTAGTGCACAGGACAGGACGGTCCTTCCTCATGGAGAATGAGCCAGTCCACAGTGTGGAGCGTGGTGAGTGCGAGAAGCCCTGAGAACAGATTCACCCCCAAAACATTACTAAAACAGAATCTAGGCCAGAGTTGTGGGTAAGAGTAGGATCTCATTTGTCTTTACCCATCACTCTTGCTTTGAAGTAAATTCTTGTAGAGTGGTAGCAAACACTATATACCCTTCTGGTTTCAGTATCTCTGTGTGAAGCTACTTCAGCCTTAGGTCTTCAGGTCTACTCCAGGGTAGCCCTGCTTCGTGACAGCCTAGACAGCAGACTTGCAATGTCAGAATCCTTGCTCACTCAAGGGTCAGCTCTAAGTTAGCCACCTGCGGCCCACAGAGCAAGTCATGGTGGGGCTGTGACCCTCCTCCACCTCCCAAATGAATGAACATGTTTACCTTTTGTTGTAACTTATCACAAGAATGAATTACTCCATGAATGAGCTGTGTTTATGTTCTGACTTTAGTATAAAACAATTGTGAAAACTATAGGATTATGGTAATATTCATGTGAAAGGTTTACTGTGAGACTTTCCCTTTAGAAGTGTTAAAGTTTAGAGGTAGTTTAATGTTGTAGGGTATAATATAATGAATGATAGAAGTTAAATAATTATTGTTTTTGTTTAATCACAATGGACAGAAAATACTTCTTTCTCTCCGTATAAATAATATATGTATAAATAAAATAATCTTCAAAAAAGGTAGTAAGTATTTAGTTTGACTAAGTATTTAATAATAAGTACTCGGCAGTCTGACTATCAAATTCAAATTATCTTGCTTTAAAATACTAAGAAACCAGCAAACCAGTATCAAACAGCTCGGGATTTTGTTTGTATTTCTATCAAAGGTGCTTGATAATTTTTTTAAGATGTGCATCTGAGTCTTAATATAGTGAAAAAAATGTTAGCTGTTGGTTGTGAAACCAAGGGATGAAGTAATCTCCTGCTAGAGTTCAGTAGAGCATTGTAGGCTTTACACAATACCACTTTGTCTGTTCACAAATAGATTGTTGGTCACTACCCTTGGACCCACCTGGTTCTGGGTCACCTTTCTGGTTGGGGCACAGAGTGACATCACGTGGTTACTGTTGCATTTGTGGTGTGCTACTCCACATGTGGTATGCACCCTGGGCTGTCACAAGGCTGTCCGGCCCATGGTACTCTGTGGGGACGTGAGGTGGAGTTGCATAACCATGAAGGACTTTGGAAACAGCCTTGGTCTGCTAGAGGTGGTTATTACCACCACACCTAATGAAGTCCCTCCACCAGCGAAGGTGATATTTGGAGGGTTTCCAAATTGTATTTGAGAGTTTCTATATATTGGAGAATCTGTGTGACATAAATGTTGGAAACCAAACTGAGGACTGCCAGTCCCCCGCAGTGCAGTTCCCTATAAGTCTAGCCAGGCAGCACGCACGAGGGCTTGGCTGCCTCCCAGCCAGGCGCACTGGAGCAAGTTGCTCAGGCCTCAGTTTCTTCATCTGTATGTGGAGCAGACGATCATGCCCACTGGGTAGGGGGATCACGAGGATCACCTACCGTAGCATTCACATGCAGGCTAATGGAGAACGTGGAAAAGGTGAACACGGTGCCTAGTAGACACGTGAGCCTTAGCTTGCTTCCCTTTCTCTCCGCTTTACCTCCTTGCCTCTTCCCGTGTTTCCAGCTGAGCCCTGGACTATTCGTTTCTTCACTCCTCCCCTCCCAAGGTGCAGGACCCGGGTGGAGCCAACTCTGCTAGTTGGGTTTGGGCGGCTGCTGGCTCAGGATAGCGCAGCAAGGAATGTGAGTACAGCGAGGCCTGCCAGTGAGACATGGGCTGAACTGACAACCAGGAACATGTCTGTGATGTTTACAGACGAATTAGGCTACTCACCGAGGCAGTTATGAATTGCAGTAAGTAGTTTTGGAGGATTGTTGGGATCGTAGGAAAAGCTATTTACTATCAAGATTCTGGCAGGTTAACCACTTGACATTTGAATTAGGGAACTAAGAAGGAGAAAAAAGATGTGAATGAAAGGATTGTGGGCAGATTTCAAAGGCCTGGGATCGACAAAATTAATGAAGCCCTCGAGTATTAATGGTCCCGTGAAAATCTTACGTGAAGTACATGTGATTTTGTTTAAAAAAATTTCAAACCAGAAAAGAAAATACCACTTTACTTTTTGGCTATACTAATAAAAAACACGTAAGTACTTTGTTTCTTTAGTGATGCTAGGCAAGTGCCCTACTGCTGAACTGTACCTCCAATCTCATAATTCTAACAAAAAGTTTAAATTTCAAGATAAATTACTCTCCCCTCAACATAACATTTGGCTTTTTCTTCCAAAATTCACCCCCCCTCCCCGGTACTGGGAATCGAACTCACAACCTCACGCTTGGTAGGCAGGTGCTGTGCCGCTGAGCTAAATCCCCAGCCCCTTTCTTCCAAAATTAATTTGGGTATGAGCTTTCTTTGTCACTACTTGTTATGAAACTGTTCTGCTTTTCTGTGGGGTGCTGGCGATGAAGCTAGGTCCTTGTGTGTGCTAAGCACATACTGTATCGCTGAGTTATCTTGGCCCTTCCCCCTTTTAATTGGTTCAGCCAAAGATACAGAACTATTGGACTATTTAAATTCAATTCTGGTTCTGCAAGTTCCTAGATGAGTGACTTTAGGCAAGGTTCTCAATCTCTCTGAGCCTCAGCCTACTCATCTGTAAAATAGGATAATGATGGTCTTTGGGTTGTTACAGGCATTAAAGGAAATGGTATAAGTAAAGTTATTATCACATTATCATTATCACCACTAAGACTAATGTCCCCCTTAGAGAAATGGGTTCATTTGTGCCACCTCACAATTTAAGATGTAATAGTAAATAAGAATAGTGAAGTGGGGGGGATGAA